TTTTTTTTTTTTTTTTTGAAACCTTTACCTCTTCGTTGTGGTTAAGATCACCAATTTTCTTTTATTGCTGTTTATGGCAACCTCAAAAGTAAAGTGATATGAAAAATAATTGTAATAGTAGTTGTACCAATTAAAAACTCCCAAATTTTAAAGAGGTGCCCGAGTTAATTGACATTCATCGCCTATATTTATAGGAAGGTCAGAAACAGAGATACTTATTACCTCGTCTAACTTTTCTTATCAGAGATCGTATCAAACCCAATGGCAAATCAGGCCAGGGTATTTACATCGCTGCCATGATCATTGCCCTTACCACCCTCTTCGATGAGCGTCTGACTGTATTTCTATTAATAAGATGGAAAGAATTGAAACCGATTTCTCAAGGCTCTGGCATTATGTCGACTGAGCTCAAGGTAAATTCACCTTCATGGATGTAATATGTAATTCAAACCATGAAACCTCTCGTTCCTTGTTCAATCTGAATCAGCTATCAAACAAAAAAATACTATAAGGTTACTATGGGCGGTTTTGTCGAGTGAATTCACAAGGAGTCGCCTGCAATATTCTTTTTTCTTTGCCTTTAATCAAGATATATAAAGAACTGAATTCGTCACGTAAACAGGGAGACATATACATGTACCTTGTTCCGTTTGGCTTCTGTTTCCATTTTGAGTTATGTGTATTTTACATTACGTGTCAGGCACAAGACAAAATAAAGACATGCTCAAAGTTAATCACATCTGTTTATGTTATACGATCACGCACCTGTTTGCTTTTTGTTTCTTTTATATCCTTACCATCTCCCAATCAAGTGAACTGTATGAATGCCATGAAAACAAGTTGATGATAATTTAAAAATGACTGAATAATGGTCATCGCAACTGGGATATTTTTCACCTTAAATGAATTTAAACTAAAAATGGGGTAAAATACAGATGTGAAAAAAGGGGATGCGTTAGAGACATTACATATTGTTCCTTGTACTTCTAGCTACGTTTAATCTACCAGGCTTTTGATTAATTTATATCTTCACGATACACTCTAGCTCTTTCCAGATAACTATATGTGACTTCTTTCGTATTTTTTTCAAAATAAACTAAATGTCAAATTTAAAGAGAGAGGTTACTGGTCGGATTATTTTGCCTTGTTGGTGAGTTTATCTTATAATGTAAACAGATAACACTTTATCTACACCGTTGTCGAAAATAGACACTTTCGATCATTCTCAAGAGCGAATAAAACAGCAAGAACGCGTTGCAGTGGTGAAGGCATGTAAGAGTATCAACTTACGGGCGTTGTCAAGTTAGCGTTGCTGGTTTTAGATCGTAACTTGCTAGCATGGCAAGTGAAAACCACGGATACTGATAGTGTCTATGACCCTACCTTGCAAGTACCATATTGCAAACTATAAAGTAACAAGGATTTGAAATTTATTTTATTCAGTGCTATTTCTAAATCTTGGAAATCCATTAAAGGAATGTCTTGTTTTATGATAGGAGGAAATTAACATTAAGCATCACAGGTAAATATTAAGTGGTAAATAATGAAGATTTAGTGGCTGTCTTCAGATTTTAGGGACATCTCATAGCTACATGTGTCTCTCAAAGGCACCTCACCAGAATCCAAGACAATACAAAAGGACGTTTCGAGAAAGGTACTAGCGTGGAATCTTTCGGCTGTGGGTAATAATTCGTGTTTTAAACATACATATTGGAAAATGCACGTGCCAACAGTGGAAGCCGTGACCACTGGGTCAAATACAACGTGTGATATTCTGACTTAACGCCGTTTCGTTTCATTTCTGTGGGTCTAATGGAGTGTTAAGCACATTACTATTCATCAATTTTATAGACATTTAAACACCAATGTGTGCCATTTTGTAAAACCGTTTTATATCCTTTGTTGCTTGCGTCAGTGAACTACTTTGAAAATTCCGAGAGCAAGTTGTTTGTGGTCAAGATTGTTCTGATTCATTTCAGGCTGACCCCAACAACTTTAATATCCCGATTTGTATCCACTAAAACAAGTTATCACACCCTCTTTAATAACTTGATAAAAATGGAAGGTGGGAGAAAAAAAGAATATCTCAATACTAGTCGTAGTTTTTCAGATTTTCTTTTCTTTCTTTCAAATTATGAACTAAGACCAGTCAGTCAGCTAAGTATGTTTAGGCACAATGGATATAGCCTCCGAACATAATTTTAATTTGACGACACTACCTGTATCAGTAGTACCTGTGCTATAGTCGTATCAAATTTTAGTGGCCCCAGCCCTTTTTATTACATACTTTATTAAAACTTGTTAATATGAATGTTCATTAGGTAAGTGCACCAGTAGATGTATTGATCTGATGACGACTTCAACATTTTAACACCAGTAAAAATACAATTTCATTTTTTAAATTTTCTATTAATAGCCATCCGGAGTAAAAACACAATTAAATGGATGAAAAACCCCCACTTCCCAGTAAAAAAAGCACACAGATTGAAAAGAGAATTTTCGAAATTTAGAGTCTGATAAAAGGCACAACGGTGGCAACATGAATAACCCTGCGCTAAAGGATATCTACAGAATCTACAGAAATGTTGTACTCGACAGGTGAATCAGACATGGTTACTATAAACTGAACCAATACAAATGGATATTTAATACTCGCGATAATACAAAATGATCAGGTGACAACTTCCTGGTATACCTCACTGCTTGCACTAAGTGGGCCATTATCTGACTCATTGTCAACTTTTAAAGATCAATTTGTAAACCACGTTTTATGGCTGTCTTTTGTCTAAAATAATTTTCTTTTGAGTTTTTAACTTTAAATAGGGTAATGTCTATTAACATTCTACAACGACTTAATGTTTGGGTTTTTAGCTGCATCCAAATGTCATTAATGTAGTACAAGGACCCACTAACAAGGACCCATCAAACTTATAACAACGTGATTAGTTTTGCGTACCTACGTAAACACAGATAAACCTACGCTGATCACTAAAACATTCAAACTGTTCCGTCTTATCGAAACATACGATAGCACGCCATGCTATCTAGAGGGAACTCATTTAAGCCTACCTTGTTGTCGAAGTTGTCCGTGATATTTAAAGGCATTCCCTACGGTGTACCCAACCACGGCTGCTATGATCAATGTTACAACTATAATCCCCGCGATCAAACTGTATTTGTATCTCTTCCTCAGCTGCGAGGGCGAGTTCTTGGTCGGAGTGGGGAGATTTTCCGAACTCTGCGCCCCGGTTGACGGTAAACTACTCTTATCTGCTCCAAGGTTTTCCGCCATTTTTACGAATATCTAGGCCACACGTTAATAGGCTAGGGTTTAAGTGTTTATTTATAGCGTACTACGTGGTTTACTGGGGCGTGCTGCGAGGTCACGTGACTTTCAATGAATCACAGGTGTACAACAGCCTCTTAAGCAGGGCTCTAGGAACAATAATCGGCAGTTTACTGTATGTACTTTCTTGACCTAAGCAAAAGTGCTTAGTTTGGACTGCAGAACATTTAAGTTATTTACGTTAAGAACAGTGTGACAAAAAAGAAATTATCACTGACTTTTGCCAAACTATTTTATCAGAAAGTAAAGCTTTTTTACTATTACTCTATTTTCACATCTAGATTTTAAAAAGCATTTAAAAGCAATGGTTTTATCATCTTGTGACAAGGATAAATTTTTTTAATGAGCCTATATTGTTTCCATGTACAATTTTGTTTTATTGCAAAAATATATCCTGGCGAACGAAGTTTGAAAAGAACAATCTAACATATTTTAAATCATGAAAAGGGTTTGTTTTATACGCTGCATCCGAATAATTTGAAATATGCCACCATATCGAATTCCAAATGTATGTCTTTTATGTCCCTGTGGTTATAGTTTCTTTCACATCAACTCTGCAACTCTTTGATTCGCAAAATTATTATTTTTCAACTCTTAAATGGTATAAATCTAAATATGAAACAAAATAGTCAGTCCACCAGCTTGGTTTATTAAACATAATCGTCAAAAAACGATTAAAATTCAAGTTTAGTACTAATTTATAAATAAAGATATGGAAAAATAACAAACGCAGAAACAGTTTTAGAGGAATGTTTGGAATACAGCATATTAAGGTAAGGTGAAAAAAGATCCAGCATTGATATTAAGTAAGATGCTCCCTTCTTGTGAGGGATAGAGCAAATGAGTATCTGAACCGGGGATCGACACTAAGCAAACAGACAAAACGCCAAGTGCAATCACCATATCCTCAAATCACCCAGCATGCCGCGACTCAAAACTTACAGAGAAAGGCGCTGATTTATGAGTTCAACAAAACACGATGCGCCTTTTACACAGGTAACACCTTCATAAAGTTCTGGTTACTCCTCTATGGTAAAATGCACCTATCGCTGACTTTTTTCATATTCAAGAATGTTACGCCTGTTATGCGTTCTGGAAAAGCATACGCCCGTCAATGTAGGTCATATTGGCATTTTTGTTTTGCTAACCCTTCTCAAACAACTAAAAGGAGAGATCGTAATTACCCAGCCGCACTGACAAGCTGCAAGAAAACAATTTTTTCAAGAAATGTAAGTAAAGGATTATTTGACATGTCAAAGCAACGTGGTATGGGTATGGGGAGGGGATAAGATATATGTAGAGGAGAGATGAAAAGAAGATATGAGGCGGTTTAAATATCGCACTCCAGGCAATTGGATTTAGTCCCAATTCTTTTTCATAAATAGTGCTGACTACGCACTACGTTGAAATTTAAGTTGTCGTAAAGATATGAAGGATACGGGGTTATGATGATAGAACAAAGTGTGCGTGCGTGCGTGACTGAGAAGTGAAAAAAATAGGGCAGTACAGTAGAACTACATAATTTGATGTAACTTTAACTGTGAGCATTTGAAACGAAGTTCTACATCACATTTGCCTTCGTGATGGAAACAAAACTGCTGCCGACATATTATATTATATTATATTATATTATATTATATTATATCACTCTTTTTTATTTTCACAACCAAATAAATAGACCAGAAAGAAAGAGAAAAAACGCTGAGTACTCAAGTGTCATTTTTAAACACTTAACCACTAATTACATTCAGAATAATGTACTAAAATGGCAGAGTTCCACTAGAGTTCCATCTAAGGTCAACGCTACATGTAATTCGCCGCCCCGCATCATAATTGATGTCTCTTTTTTCTCAGCCTCTTCCGACAGCTGCTCGACAGAAACAACGAAAAATAGACGCGGGACGACTGGGTCAACGGGGCATTGAAAAGATGATTAACTGGAAATAACTCTTCTGTAACGGCGTCGGGGAGTGGCGAACGCTTAGCGTCTGACTGCTTACGTTCCTTACACGAGCATTTCATATCGTGCAAAGGTTAGATGTAAAGGGCCATCAAGAGTACGTATTTTGGAAATTGAACATAAAATTTTTCCACTCCACATACAACTTATAGTCTGCATAGTGGTCGTGGTTGAAAGGGAATACGCGCAGATCGCATCGAGTATACGGCCTTCCAACCGACACCGATTCCAAAGAACGCACTGCACGTCATTTCACCTTGGTAACAGCACAAGTTTATAGGGAACTTGGCAAATTTTAGAGGAGCACCCACAATCCAGAACAGTGCATTAAACCAGATTGTCTTACAGTTTAATACTGTGAAGTTAAACAGGGTTAAAAACCGAGCACCTGTAACTCTCAGGGTAAAAAAGCAGACAGGTCACAGCTCTCTAAACGCTAGTTGTCACAAACGACTTAACGTGTTCTCAGAATATAGGACACCAATTTGTGAATAGCTATGTCATCTCAGCCAGACAGTGCGGAGCTGCAGCCTTTTCGAGACGACACTGACCGACCTCCAGAGACAAAGTCAGATGAAGATGACACCGCTGCTAGGAAGCGACAAAGGAGGGTGGTTATCTTCATTATTGTTGTTGCTGCTGTAGTGCTCGTTGTGATTGCTGTCATTGTAATAGGTGTCGTACTTGGATTGCTGTTAAACCAAGCTGAAGGTGAGGTAATAGGTAATATAGACTACACAACCCCCCTCTCTCTCTCTCTCTCCCTCTCTCGCTCTCTCTCTCTCTCTGTGTGTGTGTGTGTGTGTGTGTGTGTGTGTGTGTGAGAGAGAGAGAGAGAGAGAGAGAGAGGAAGTGCTTGCACGTGACAAAAAAAAAAAGAGAACACTGCAGTTAGGTTTTCTTTTCGGCATAGTAATGCTTCATTGGGTATTCCCCTGCCTCCCTCTGACATCAAAATACTTGTAACATACTTTTGGAGTAATGAATTATAATATGAATTGTTTGAAGTAACGTACATGTAATGTGCGTATATATGTTATAATGTTTCAATCCTGTAAATTTTCTTTTCACAGCCAGCTTGGAGCTTATTACCAGGGGAATAGAAGATGAGAAGTCAACACTCATTCGTTACGACCAAGAGCAAGAAAATACATTCAAAACTGCCACTGATCTTATCCAGGGCGTTCTTAAAGGTACTGCATCATACTGTGGAATTGTGCCAGAAACTAAGCAATATTCAATTTCATACCAATATTAAATGAGAAAAACAGTTATAATTGTGGCAAATTATTAGAATACGGGAATGAGTTTAGATAGACTGCCTTAATTCAAACTTAAATTAATTAAAGACATTTAGACAAACACATTTAGACATAAATGAACAATATCTTTCCATCTAAACAAACCACTTTAAATCGATCTTTGCATGTGTCATGTTTCATTTTTACTGAAATTGTATTTAGGAACATATTTGTGAAACTGGATGTATTAATTTCCGATCCTCCGTTTTTGTATCCTCCACATAGTCTTTATTGAAGGATCACGACTGTTACCCCACTTTACAGGTTATGATCTAGATGAGTTATCAGATAAAGCAAAGGCAAATCTCGTAGACTGTAATGATACTACCGGGGCGCAACCAGGCAAGAGTTGTATCTTCAGCATCGACAAACTGGGAGAGAAATGTACAGAAAACAGAAAATTTGGATATCCAGAGGGAGCACCATGTATTTTATTGCGTTTCTCTGCGGTAAGGGGCTAGGGTATTGCAGCTAAGTCCGGGCCAGGGTTAACTAGACCCACTCTTTCATGAGTTTTTTTTTACCCAAAAGCTAAAAGAAGTTATTTTGGCTAAGTAGATATTGTTTTGCCAATTTGCCGTTGACTAGTCAGGTTTTGGAAAACTGCTCAGAAACGAAGTCTGTATTTCATTTACCCTTTTATTCCTTAAATGTTACATATTGGACAAAAGGCCTTTAAAAAACAATCCTTTATCAGCCAGTATATGGGGTTGATTCTAAAATCTTCCTTGAGGGAGGTCTAAATTGTTAGGACTTTGTTACAGATACTTTGGAATTTTCACCGTTGATTTCTTTCAGCCTGTTCACTGGACGCCCGATCCATACGTTAAAACAGACATTGAATATGACAACATGGTCAGACAATTGAACCAATCTGGATTAGATCTTCCACTCCCAGGAGATATCCCAGTTACCTGTACTGGACAGGTGGGTAAAACTCTCTCTCTCTCTCTCTCTCTCTCTCTCTCTCTCACACACACACACACACACACACAAGACAAGCACTCAAGTGCTTTTATTGTGTGTCCTTCATATGACAATCACCGTATTGGATGGAGGTATGGAGTAATTCATTGTGAAAAAAAAAAAAAAAAAAAAGAATAATCAAAATGTGACACTTCCTAGTTGCAATATGTAAATTTTGTTATTTTAGTACCCTGTTGACCAGGAATTGTTGACGTCCAGAGTGCAGTACTGGCCAAAGAGAGGATTTGAGGGTTACTACTTTCCTCGCACAACGGAAGAGGAATACATGGACCCACTTCTCATGGTGCAGTTCAAAAAACCAACCTTAGGGGTAGTTATCATGATAGAGTGCACTGCATGGGCAAAGAATATTTTTAAGGGGAAAAATAAAGTACAATTTGAGTTACTGGTAGACTGAAACGGTCACTAATTGGAAAGGATGGGATGAAAATTCAGCTGGATATTGATATCGGGACAGGACAGCTGACCGACTCACTGCCACACCACTGAGGTACAACACTGCTGGAACCTGGACTTATATGCTTTCTGACTGTTTTTTCTCGTCTGAATTTACCTGCTTGTGAAATAAAACATGGTAGTGATGTGACAGGAATGGAAGTCCTAGGAAAGGATGTCCGGGTCCCATATGATTTGAAATTGTACAGGTTAGGGTTAGTTGGAGTATTGGGGTTAGAATATGGAACGAATGTCACCTGTACAAAGTAATGGGAAGCGGACTACGGTTCCTGGCGGACTTCCATTCCTGTTACAGCGGCTTCAACAACAACAACAAGGCGGGCAGATGGATTGGGAGCCCTTGTTCAACTACCCCCAACCCACCACTCGTACCACTACTACTACTCATAACCAAAACAATATGGCAAAGCCAGCCCATTTTCCCCGAGACAAAAAGCAACACTAAAGGACTCACAGAATTATGTGTCATAAATTTCAGAATGTCCTTAATTGCAATCATTTATTTTAATTTCCGGGGCTGCGTGCGAGGCCAAATGTTCCGTTTTTTAATTCCATCATGCTTCGTGTACACGATGTTATTACCCTGTGAACACAGACTTACAGATATTCACAGACCTTTGGCTTTAAATTAAAAAGAATGGACATTGGGGGTTTTGGGGAACCGTTAAGATATGCATTCAGGTGTAATTGCCCATATCTTCTGGCATTCAGAAATCCCAATGCACCTAGGTCAGTCTATGATTTGTACATTTTAACAACGTCAACTTAAAAGTATAGTTGGCTATCAAAGACAAAAAGACAATTTTGCTTTCCCAAAGAATTAAGTTACCAAACAGAAAACTTCCCTTGTCAACGCGGAAGAAATGGAACCAGCCAACGCCCTAGCATTTCAGAAATGATTTTTGGTGCATCCTTGGCAAATTAACTTCCTCTCTCTTCCACCCTTTTTCTCTTTCAGCAAACCTGGACCTGGCAGTGAGCACCATACTTGTTTACAGTTAGTTAGAAAGTTTCAAGATAGTGTAGAATCAATTAAGACGGGATAGCTTGTATTTTATTCATGTTCTTGGTGAACTCAGTTTTTTTACGTTCCAAATGTTGTGTACGTGCTATAGTCGTTCAATGGATAATATGTGTCTAGCCTTTATAATATACAGTTTATGGTGTATGTTAACCAAATGACGCCGAAGCTGCTCTAAAATTCGTAGTTGAATACATTGTTAGTTGCTTTAATGTTGTAAGTGTTAGATAAGTTGTTTTCTTTAATCTTTAGCTAATTTTGATGAAAAAAATCTTTGGTGATGAGATATTCAAGCGTTTTTGCTTTTGATCAAAGTTTGGAAAAAATACAGGTAAGGGTTTTAAAGCACACATCATGGGAAATATACATATTCCATAGAATGGCATCACTCATAGAGCTTATCAGCTCATTCTCCCTCAATCCCTTCTTTACATTATGCCCCTACTGTTCGCGTAACAGTATATGCATCTCAGCAGATTTCTTTTAATCCCCACCTGTGAATAACTTGAGTATAATCAATTGGGTCGACTGCTAAAACTGCCAATTTTTGTTTTATTGGTAAGTAATAATTTTAAAGAACTTTTATGAATTTTAAATGTAGTATCACAGGTTTTAGTCTCTCATATCTCTTAGTAGGGTGCGTTTTATTCTTTAAAACGTGAGACGTTAATAAAATTATTATTATTTTTATTATTACCGTTAAAACTACAATTCTCAGTAGTTTATAAGCAAAGAGCTTGGCTAATTCTTTAATTTTTTTGGCAAACGATATTAGGTTTAGAAATTATGTCAATATAGACCTATTATGAAATTATAACCAAAAATTTCNTAAAATCCAAATGAACAGAAAAATCGAAGGCATAAAAAGTTTTAATTAGACTAATTATACAAGTTATAGACTGATTATACTGCTATACTTCATCCTCTGCTGTATGCGTTGGTGGCCATTTTTTTTTCAATAACAGAAACATGCTAGTATGCAGTCATTTATCCTACTGTGTTCTTATGACGGGAAATGTGTTCATAATAGCCACAAATAAATTATATCTGTCAACTCTTGGTTGTTTTTCTATTTTCTCTGAAAATTGACGGCCATATTGAAAATGCTCAAAGTCTCGGAAGTAGAAACCAAGTCAACTCAACCTTTCTAGCCCTCAAGGATGCATTTCTGTAATGAATGTTTACAGGAAATATCATTGCAGGGTTCGACTATTTGGCATATGCGAGTGAGTCGATATTTGTCATTTTGTATTGTGCAATATCACCCAGTGACGTCATCATGACGTCATCATTGCTGTAATAGATGTTAGCAGTTAGTGTACGTTTCTCAAATTTATTCATGTTCATAATTAACGCCGGTAGTGCTCGTTTACGTGAATTCTGGATGTACATAAAATGCTGAGTCAGCATATTTTAAGAAAGCTGCTCATCCGGGTACTTGTGAATTTTGGAGTTGCCCCCCGATCCAAAATTGACAAACACCCAATGGTCATTCATCGTGGAAAGTTTCATGCTTTTATCAACTTTTGCACAATTTTTTGGCTTAGCCGCCTAACTATGTGACAGAATGGAAGTCCTAGGAATGGACGTCCGGGTCCCATATGATTTGAAATTGTACAGGTTAGGGTTAGTTGGGGAATTGAGGTTAGAATATGGAACGAATGTCACCTGTACAAAGTAATGGGAAGCGGACTACGGTTCCTGGCGGACTTCCATTCCTGTTACAGCGGCTTCAACAACAACAACAAGGCGGGCTGATGGATTGGGAGCCCTTGTTCAACTACCCCCACCCCACCACTCGTACCACTACTACTACTCATAGCTATAACAATATGGCAAAGCCAGCCCATTATCCCCGAGACAAAAAGCAACACTAGAGGACTCACAGAATTATGTGTCATAAATTTCAGAATATCCTTAATTGCAATCATTTATTTTAATTTCCGGGGCTGCGTGCGAGGCCAAATGTTCTATTTTTAATTCCATCATGCTCCGTGTACACGATGTCATTTCCCCGTGAACACAGAGATTTGCGGATATTCACAGACCTTTAGCTTGAAATTTGAAAGAATGGAAGTTGGGGGTTTTGGGGAACCGTTAAGATATGCATTCAGGTGTAATTGCCCATACCTTCTGGCATTCAGAAATCCCAATGCACCTAGGTCTATGATATGTACATTTTAACAACGTCAACTTAAAAGTATAGTTGGCTATCAAAGACAAAAAGACAATTTCGCTTTCCCAAAGAATTAAGTTACCAAACAGAAGACTTCCCTTGTCAACGCGGAAGAAGTGGAACCAGCCAACGCCCTAGCATTACAGAAATGATTTTTGGTGCATCCTTGGCAAATTAACTTCCTCTCTCCGCCACCCTCTTTCTCTTTCAGCAACCCTGGACCTGGCAGTGAGCACCATACTTGTTTACAGTTAGAAAGTTTCAAGATAGTGTAAGATCAATTAAGACGGGATAGCTTGTATTTTATTCATGTTCTTGGTAAACTCAGTTTTTTTTTTACCTTCCAAATGTTGTGTACGTGCTATAGTCGTTCAATGGATAATATGTGTCTAGCCTTTATAATATACAGTTTATGGTGTATGTTAACCAAATGACGCCGAAGCTGCTCTAAAATTCGTAGTTGAATACATTGTTAGTTGCTTTAATGTTGTAAGTGTTAGATAAGTTGTTTTCTTTAATCTTTAGCTAATTTTGATGAAAAAAATCTTTGGTGATGAGATATTCAAGCGTTTTTGCTTTTGATCAAAGTTTGGAAAAAATACAGGTAAGGGTTTTAAAGCACACATCATGGGAAATATACATATTCCATAGAATGGCATCACTCATAGAGCTTATCGGCTCATTCTCCCTCAATCCCTTCTTTACATTATGCCCCTACTGTTCGCGTAACAGTATATGCATCTCAGCAGATTTCTTTTAATCCCCACCTGTGAATAACTTGAGTATAATCAATTGGGTCGACTGCTAAAACTGCCAATTTTTGTTTTATTGGTAAGTAATAATTTTAAAGAACTTTTATGAATTTTAAATGTAGTGTCACAGGTTTTAGTCTCTCATATCTCTTAGTAGGGTGGGTTTTATTCTTTAAAACGTGAGACGTTAATAAAATTATTATTATTTTTATTATTACCGTTAAAACTACAATTCTCAGTAGTTTATAAGCAAAGAGCTTGGCTAATTCTTTAATTTTTTTGGCAAACGATATTAGGTTTAGAAATTATGTCAATATAGACCTATTATGAAATTATAACCAAAAATGACCTATCACTGTTGTTTCACAGAAGCAGGTTTAATACACACGTGACATTTTCTTTGGTTGATACAGCACTTTTGTTTCGTAAAAACTCAAACCTCTATTAATTTTCTGTAGAAATTACACCACAACAGATTCTATGCTGGCGTAAGCCATCTCAACTGTCACAGTGCGATAAATCCGGATGTGCATTTGGGTTTTGTGGCAATCTGCTCTGTAATGGGCAAGTCGTTAACTTTTACAGACTTTCTATACAATTATTAATACAATGACACATTTAATCACTACTAGTGGTTTCGTATCAGGGGAAGCCAAAAGATGAGTCAACCTCGTCACTTCCACGGAGCTTTAATAAGCGTTACTTTTTAACATTACGCGTCACTTGTAGCCTTAAATCATTTGTCGTCAAAACGATAACAGGACGTTCAAGTCATAATTTTCTATCAAAAATTTGGGACATTGGTCCGATCCAACTTCTCTGGGAGAAATTTGTAACCGAACACCGGTGTCACGTACAGGCAACCCACGTGATAGCGTCCGATTCCAATCGATTTCTACGGGCAAGTGCGGGAATCTTGACCCATTAACGTCACATCAACTCTAACCAGTATGTGCTCAACGGAGAAGAGTCCTCGTTTCGTAACTGGGTTGTCAATGTTTGGGCAACAGCTTCATCAGAACAGAATTGCTCATTCACAGAAAAAAGAAAGGGACCGTGAAACGAAGCGACTTGCCAGCAGTTTCAGATTGCAATAAGCGAACATTAGAAAATTGATTTTTTCACCCAATTTGATGTACTTATCCTATGAATGTTTTGAGTGTTGTGTGAAAAAAAAAACATTGACACGCCATTTCACTTCGTGTTGCCTTAGGCATTTAATAGGCACATACTTCAATATATATTTTTTTAAATTTTCATTCTTACAAAGTATTGCCTTTGGCATTGCAGTCATTTTTTTTATTCAAATCTAATCATCTCCAGCTTCTTCCAGCTTTTTAAGGTACGATGCCTTCTTCTGTTTGACACGATCTCTGCGTTGTGCAAGAGACATTGAGCTACGGTTCCACCTCTTCTTCTTGATATCTTTTTCTGGGCCAGGTTTACGTTCTGGATCTTCACGAATTGCAGCGTGGGCTTTTTTGTAAACCTCCTCAATCTTAAAAAATATAGTTACACATTATTACCTGCTGGAATTTTAAACATTTTCTGAAAAAAATCCCTCTTGATTTTAAAAAAGAAACAGTGATGGTAGCGTAATTCATCAAGCTTTTGGCTTTTTTATAGGACACTAGTATCAGTTATGCTCAGTAAGCAAGTTTTATTCATTGTGTCAGTATAACACTCCCATAAGAGGTGTCAAATTGGGATCATCATTTACAAGTGTCCCTAGAAAAAGCTTTTTCATGGGTGACTGTAATTTTTCAACTACTGATAAACTCATTTTACTGTATTAAAAAAATTAAAGATATCAATTTGGGTTGTTAAAAATTCAAATAAAAAATTTCCCTTAAAAATAGACCATCAGCAAAACAACATTAAACAATTTGCCATAAATAAAACTTAATTTAACTATCTACAAAAAAAGGGCAACTGAAGCCCCAGGGGAGTTGAGAAACTTACAGAATCAGCGGTGACTCCCTCCCTAATGTATTGAGAAAACTGTCTCTTGAAGGCGTCCTCGTCTTCCTCCTCCAGTTTCCTCATGTAGTCAGCCACATGCTGACCAAAGATATGAGCTCTGTGGACCTCAGCACTGAACTCCTTACTCTCTCCGTCATAGCCTGGGAAGCGCTTTTGACTAAAAGATAAAACCAAAGAACACTTGAGCAAGTATGAAATCTTTAAGACTAAAGATGAAGAAATGCATGCACCAGAAGAAAATTTCTCAACAGTGATTATGCTTGTCAAAACTTTTCCCAAAGCTACATTTGCATAAACTAAGAGGTCACTAACAACAAAACAATTTAACTCTGGTCTATGATCCAAGTCATCACATTAGCCCTTAAAATATAGAAAACCAATGATCACAGCCCTTATAACTGGACACAGTTTCCATATCATCTCACACCAACTGACCTGTGAGGGATGTCCAAGCCTCCATCCACGGCACCCTTCATGGCACCAAACACACGAGCACCAGTGGTGGTCCTGGCCAGACCTACGTCCAGGTAGGCCCTGAAGGCGCCAGCCTCCCCATCCACATCTTCCACCATGTACTCATCTCCAGTGACCTCATCCACTCCACTGTAGATACTATCCAGGTTCAGTTGTTTCAGCAACTAAAACAAAAGGAAACAGGGGGGTCTTATTTCATGAACACACAATGGGATTGAAAAATCTTACCACCGACTTTGGCCTGGCTAACTTTCTTCAAAGGATACACACTGCACATTTATAGGTGGGTACCATGCTGTAATCTTATTAACTTTGCTAAATTTGTGAATGCCACTAAAATGCCAGTCAATTTACTTTAAACTATTCCACTATGCCAAGTAGCCACTGCAAATTTTACTACAAGTTACCTGAGACTTGTGTACTAGTACCTAAAATCCTCTTTACAATTGTTCTCTCAAATTAACATTGATCAATAACTTCAGCCTTACCCTGCGAGCAAGCAGCAATCCTGTGCAATATGCAGCAGCATAGTTTGTCAACCCGACCTTGACGCCATAGCGGGGAAGCTCGTGGGCATAGGCAGCACAGATGACCACGTCTCCCTCGATTCTGGCGTACGCTATCTGCAAAGAGGAAAACCACAATTTTGGTCAAGCAGTTAAAGATGCATACAAAGTCAATTTTTTGTCACAAAAACCAACCAAATGCCAGCATATAGTTTCAAGTAGTATAACTAAGAGAATTACCAAAAAGCATGTTTAATTTTACCCGAAAATGATGTTTGATTGATTTTTCTGCTAGCATTCTATGCTGTATGTCAATGGGGCAGAAAAGTAGGTCAGGAAAGTAGGTTAAATTTCCGACCAAAAATTTTAAGAAAGCAGTCTAAAGCTCTTTTATGGCTGATTGAGTGATCTATTCAGTTTATCCCTTGGCATGTCAAATTTATTTGAGTCGTATAAGAAACTAGTAGAAGTGGTTTACATATGTTACTGGGAATCCACACTCCACCGATGCTCGGTTCGTATGTACCTTTAAACTCATTCCAATGGGAAAAATAATCTTCCAGATTGAATCGCAAAAAGTATAACTGCACTGGGTTACATTCTTTAGAATACAAATTTCTTCCTTTAACAATTATGTTTTAAAATTTAAGCATGTCACACTACAAAAACAGAAGATACTTTTCAAATGTATTTAAACTGATTCACACCCTAACCTTAAATGCATTACTCCAAAATTTATTTACTCAACATGATGTTAACAAAGGAAACGTGTCCTTTCTAGTGTGTGTATGCATGTGAATGCATGCACACATATGTGCACAAACACATTTCAAGTTTCCCTACCTGGCATGTGATATCCTTGTTAGTGAAGCGCACAATCATTCTGTACTTGGGAGTGTTGTACTTGTTCTTGTCTTGTACAACAAGTCTTTTACGGGCATAATAATCAGTTCTCCCCTCTATGAAAATGGAAACAAACACAGTGAAATATCCATGCATTTATGGGATTTTGATAACCTTTGTTATTTACAAGGCTAAATTTGAATCAATATTTTAGGCTTTTGAAAACCAAGTGGACCTAACTTTTCAATATTCACTTTCTGTAGCCAAAGGCAAAGTAATTTACAATCACGCACTTGCAAGAAATTAGCAAGTTTGCTTGGGTCCTGCCCAAAACTAATATTTTCTACCATATATCACTGATATTTTAGCAAATAACTTTTTTCCAGCCAGTTATTGCTTGTGAGCAAATTGTCTCGTTCCAATTGTTTCAGTCTACATCTTACTGTTGTTGTTGGCATTATTGAACTCAATTACTAAATTCAAAATGTACAGATAAAAATATGGCATATGGTATAATATAACAGTGTTTCAACTGACCTCTTCTTCTCTTGTATTTAACTTGAAATCGCTTGAAATAAGCTTTATTCTTCACTACTTTCACAAACCCCTGAAAAAGAGGGACAAAAAATTCCATGGATAACAGTGCTTTTACTTTTTATAACTGTGTGAAACAACTTGGGTAAAGACACGATTTCTGCTCTTCATGTGATGTAATTATAATACTAAAGGATATTATTGTATAAACAGTCTTGTAATGAGCAGATATCAAGAAACTATACAGACAGGTGGCAGGATTTAATTTAACAAATTGACCATAAAATAAAGGTGTTTAGTGCAATAGACTAGGTTCTTGATAACAAGCTTGAGAAAGCTGCAGTGACTACATGAAACATGATATTTGACAATGAATTACTCGTTCAAAAATTGCATTGTTATTTATCCACAGTTTTTAATAAGTCAAGAATATATATATTCATCAATCACACCGTCGCCTTACAAATAGAAAATTTCGAAGCCATAATGCTAATATTTGATCAACCTCTGCTACTGAGAAAAGTATTTTCTGCTCAAATTAACATAAGGACATGAGGACCAAAAGCTCACGCTAGCTCTTCATGGTAAATCAATTCAAACATAACTCACATAAACACCACCGGTACGCCCAACTCATTTTCCACGCTGGTATATTCGGCCATGATTATACATTTTACAGACAGGTCATAATTTTGAATCAATTAATATCACGGGAAAACAAATTCATCCAAACTGAATTTTTATCTCAATCGATAGGACAAAGGTTATTTCTTTATTATTGACAAAAATATGTGGCATAAAGCTTACCATTTTGGTGCTATAAGCCTTCAAAGGCGATTAGCCCAGGTAGCTTCGGCTGGGGGCTGACGTTTCAGGTAAAAAGGAAGTTTCTATCACTCATGCGCAGATCATTGATATCGAGACACTTAGAATTTTGTAAATATTTTTACCAGTTAAGTACATATTTCCATTTAAAGTAGGTTAAATATTCTTAATTAATATTTTCTATTCTTTATATACACATTTTAGTGTGTGTGTGGGTCAGATAACAACATATAGAGTGCAGAAATTAATATTGTAAAACGGAAACGGTGACCTAGATATGTCCAACCAATCAGAGGCCCGCGGCGGTTTTCATCTGCAAAATGGTGGAAAACGAAAACAAGCTCGCTGGGTAGAGTGACATTTACAAGGTTTGCAAAGTGAGTTATGTCCTGGAAAAAGCAAATGATTAATATATCTGTCTATTCTTTTACATAGAATTGAAAGAGAACCATCTTACTACGCAAAGGTATTTTGGTTTTGTACACTGTAACTTGTTGTCAGGTACGCGAAGACAAAGGTCGTATCATTGATGTTTGACGTAGCCCAGTTAGCCCAGTCTCTCTTTGGCGCTGGGTTACAAAGTTACTTATTCTGATCTTGATTTAAAGAAACACGACAGAGATACAGTTTTAATAATCGCTATCGGTCTGCCGTGCGAAGACTTAGTACTTTATTGTTGTAAAATGTTTTTTAAGGGTTTAGTTATTGATGTCATTATTGGGTAACATCAAATTTCATTTTTCTTGCTGTCACTTTTAGATGTAATTTAAATTATGGAGAGTACATATAATAGCGATTTGAATATATGTCCACATGTACAATGATTATTATCAGACAACTGATGGACGTAACAAAATAACAATTATATATATAAAATTTAACTTACTTAATTGAAAGTACCAAACATTATGTGATGTTATATTTAAGTACCAAACATTACATGTTGTTTATATCAAATTTATTGCAGACATATATTGCTTTTTTTTTCAGTTTGAAGAAATAATAACCTCTTCATGATGTCAGGAGATGCTTCAGAAGAGGAATTACTCTTGAAGAATGTTCAGCAGCTGAGAAAACGACTACAGCAGACAGAAAGAAGTCTTCACAGCCTTAACTCTATAGACATTAGCTCATCACGTGGGGGTAGTCAAGGAAGGTAAAGTTGTAAAATTTGTTATTCTTTACATGTATATACTGGTATTATTACATAACTAGCTAGATAACCATTATTTCTGACACCACTCTCCAAATCCTGTGAAATATCACTCAATAATTTGCTTTTTAGCGAGAGTATGGTTCTCTTGGTGATGCCATTGGCCTTAGCATTTAGAGCATAAAGAAACATTTTGATTTCACAAGTATGATAAGAAAAATATTTTGATTTTCTCATACAGCTACCAGCTCAGCAATGACACTAGGGGTCGAAAAAGGGTATCACAGGATCAAGACAGGCCACCCCCACCCCTGAGGATGGAAGATCTGACACCAGAGGGCTCTGATGCAGGAGGTCATAGAAGTTACAGATCTGGAAGCAGTATTCCTCTTGGTTCTTCCTACAGTGATTTCAAGAAGAATACACCAAGTTACAGCACCCCTAAAGTAAGACTGTCATGTGTTGGACTTTAAATATGGTTTCAGTATCTGATCTGAAAGATTTATGGTTATATCAATATCACCATCATTATTTAAAAGAATTGTATATTGATGTGGTGTTAGTCATTTAAAAAAAAATGCAATAGAGAAAGACAATGAAGACGGAAAAATGATTTGTAAATTAGTGTATACAGTTACAAAAAAAAAAGTATAATAAATTGGTTTTCATGGTTTAAGTAAAAAATCTGTAGTGGATTTTGACATACATCCACATACTGGCAGATACTGTGGCATTAATACTTTGACAGCATATTTGTTATTCTCCCAGTGCTCAACCTAAGCTTCAATGATGATATTGGCACTTATGCCTTGTTTTTCCAATTCCTTTATTGTTGTTGTTGTTGTTGTTGTTAGTGTTGTTGTTATTATTATTATTATTATTAATATTATTATTATTATTATTATTATTATTATTTTTAGAAAACTGTAGAACCAAGGAAACCCCCTTCCAGTACATCCAGTGTTGTGTCAGAGTATGAGAATGAAACCCTGAGAAAAAAGTTGCAGTTACTCAGGGAGGAAAATTCTCAGCTGGTCGCACAAAATCATAAACTCCTAAGTGAGCTAGAAAATGCTGGGTATGAGTTGCACCAAACCAATACAAAGGTAAGTTTATGATGAGGGTGGAGAATTCTCTTGGGATACCAACAATTTAAAAAAGATTTTGCTTCATGCAACAATTTCTTGAATCGTGTAAATTGACCACATACCCCCTCCTCCTCCCAACTAATATTTTGCAATAATTTTTACACAAATTGATTTAAAATCTCTTCATAAGTATTAGTAAGATGTATATTTGTGTGTATATGTGTTTTTATTGTTATTATTATTGTGTACTATGAAAATTTTATAAAAAGATAGTGTAAGACCTACTTTGCCTTTCATTAAAATTGATGCAGAAAGATAATAACAGAATTACTTTGCTTTTCACATCAGGTTAAAAATCACTTGTCTCAGCTAGATGAAAACAAAGATTATATCTCAGATCTGGAGGAGAGGCTAAGATGTCAGGATGGAGAGATAGAGTCTCAAGAAAAAGCTCTTCGGTATGAATTGTATATTTGTTATCTTAATATGCAAAATATTTCTCTGATAACACAAGTTATGATCTTTTTATTTCTGTACTTGATACAAAGATAATGAAAAAGGTAAGACTTTTGTCTTTCAAGGAAGATCACATTAAATATAAATAGATGTTAATACTTTTGTTCTCAGATAAACACTTATTGCAGAAATACATAATTATAAAACATATTTTTTAAAAGCTCTAGCTAAAAGGTAGAATATCTGCTTAATAAAGATGTCAGAGATGTGAGACATAGGGATTGTTGCTTATTTCAGGGATGCTGAGTCCCGCTGTGAGCAGTTTGAGATGCAGTTGCATGAAGCCAAAATTGAACTGAAGAGTGTCCAAAAGCAACTAACCGAGGTATCAGTGGAGGCGACAGAAGAAAAGAGAGTACGGAAAAGGCAAGTTTGTTAAGAAGCTGTTATTATCATTATCATCATTTTCAAGGAGTCACTGTTTTTGACCTTTAAGTGCTACCCAGCGCAAAACCTGGTAGTGAAATGTACTTTGTTTTACTTTGAGAACATACTGAATATTATCTTCAATTTTATTTGCTTGATCAGGGTTGAAGCACAGAGGGATGAAGCTTTAAAGACAATAGAAGAACTTCAAGAAAGCATGGAAGATTATCAAAAGAAAACCAAAGACAAAATAAAAAAGGTAAAGGAAAAGTTTAAAAAAGAATTGAATGCTATGCATTTCATTCTTCACTTCTACCATTTAATTTCACATCTTTAAGTCTCAAAAAGAACTGATATTTAAAAGTAAGAACCACTTAAAACATGTGATAAGGAAGGAGCAGTGGATGAGTTCTAGTGTTATCAATACCATGATGATTAAAACTGTACTAGATTAAAGTTCACTTTATGGAATTCTAAGGATCAATAAAAATTGTGAAAGATGCATAAATGTAAAGTTGATTTTGCATGGAAATTACTTCAGTATCAAGAAAGTGAAGATGGACTTAAGGACAATTTACACCATGCTGATAGGGAGAGAGAGCAACTACTTTCAGAGTGCACTAAACTGAGAGAACGAGTGGCAGACATGGAGGAAGAAATCAAGTAAGTAAACTGCCAAATACTGCCAGGCATAGAAGAGTGTAAATACTGTAAGAGGAAAAAATCATGACGGTAAACTGTATTGTGAAATTTCATATTTTTATGTCATGTTCTTAGATTTTAGTGTGGTTTATTGATGACAACTCAAACATCTCAGTTGTTCCATCATTTTCTTCTTTTTTTTTTTTTTTGTTCAAGATTTTATCCCTTTTATTATATGAAAAAGTGTTATTTTTCACATGAATCCTTCTCACTTTCAAAAAAAATCTGATTGTTTATTTGTCATAATACTTTCAAAAGTTTCTTGATTTTAAGAAGTTATTGTTGTAAAATGTGTAGCTGTATTTATGAAGATTGATACTTTTTTTAATGTTGTGATAGCTAAATTTTCAGCTGTCTTCCTTATGGAAATAGATGTGATTAACTTCCTAAATAACTAATTTAAAGATATCAGAAAAAAAAGGAAACATATTTCAGATATATAAGATACATTTTATGTGTTTTAAGATTTTAAATTTACTAAATATGATTTATTGCATGCTATTCAATATTGTATTTGTATTTGATATTATTTTCCAGAAGGTTCCAGGATGACTTGACAGTTGACAGAGAGACAAGGACAGACACAGAACAGCAAAACACTGAACTGAGGGCACAGCTAGCCAGGCAAACTCAGAGGATAGGTAATTTATTTGAAGCACTTGTTACTTTTCATTGAAAGTTTTCTCTCTGTATATCAGAGATATGTTGGGGATGTACTTTTCTTTGTTTTATTTACACCTAGACCGAGCATGTCATTTTTTTATATCAAGCCCTAGATTTGAGTAAATTTCCATATTGAAGTATCAGCTTTGGACTTGCGTTTTTATCTACCCTGTACTAACATGGTGCTGATTCACTAATGGAAAGAATTTCTGTATGACATGCCTGGTAGATGGCCAGTTTATTTGAAATGCAAGAATTACAATTGTCTTTTATAGTTTGACCATTCTATCCATTATACTTGTCTCTTGTGTTGTGAAAAATCTTCTCTATAAGTAATGTAAAATAAGAAAAAGAGTCATTTAGGATGCCCTTTTTTTTTCATGGGGGTATTACATTTGATATGGTGCATGACAGCAACAATGGAATATTTTATAGGGAGGATGGAGGGAGAGGTGCATGCTGCAGAAGCAGTGAGACGAGAAAATGCTGAGCTCAGGGCCAAAGTGGACCAGCAGCAGCGCCATCTAGACTTATGTCAGGAAGAGATTGAGGAGAGCAGACAGCAGTTAACGCAGTTAGAAAAACTTGCCCGTCATTTCCAGGAACGAGCAAGAGGAAATGGATTGGTGAGTTAACATGAAAAAGGAAAGGAAATCATTCAGATTTCAGTAGTATGGTTGTAATGTTGTGCATTCATCACTGTAATGATGACTGTATTGTTAAATTAGCTTTATATGCACTCAGGTGAAAAAATACCAGTTATCTTGACCCAGTCTGAGGATAATAAAATTAAAAACGAACAAAAATACCTTTCAAACATATTTTCCTGTTTATCTTAAAGTGAAAGGCATTTTGTCTTGATATGAAGCTATTGATTTTAGTCATTATGTTATATTCCTTGTTGTAGTATGGCAGTGTAGCCAGTGATAGTGGAGTCAGCAGTACAAGCAAGCTACGCAGCAAATCACCCATGGGCAGAGCTCCTGACAACCAAGTAGATGCTAGCTTTGATGATCAGTTGGACTTTGAGAGACCAACATCCCCTGGTGTAGGAAGTGCTAGGGCAGTCATAGCAGATCTTAGGTAAGCGGGATGTTAATAATGCCTGGTAAGGCGTTTAATCATTTGTAGAAGTTTCAAGGTAATAATCAATATGTATAGATATGTATATTCCTTGCTATGATTTTCAAGTTTGAGTTCAGCAGAATTTTATAATTTTGTATCAATCTTTCTAATTTTTGAGCTTACTCCTCTTCAGCTACCTAACAATCCTGATTTTTTCCATTTTAAAGTGAAATGAACTTTATCAATTTGTATTATATGACAATGCGTTTATCATCCATAATGTCTCCTCTCCCAGAATGAAGTTAGCACTGAAAGATGCAGAGATACAGAAGCTCCAGGGTAACATACAGTCCATGCGGTCAGCTGCTGACCAGGATGACCGCTCTCCTTCACGTATGGACAGCCTCAGAAATGAGCTATCTACCATAGTGGAGCGAAGTAAAATAGGTAACTGGTATTAAGGGAGAACTGCCTTGAGTGCAGCAGTCTCAATGTTGAATTAAGGCATCTTTTTATTAGCTTAGAGATTTTGCATCTATTTGTAAAAATTTTAAAGCTGAATTTCATTATATTTTTCAGTATTAAAACTGATGCCCATGGTTTAAAACTGTTACAGTGAAAACTTACCTGAATTTTGTTCATTTCACATATCATGTACATGACATTATTTATGGCAAAAACTGGAGAATTTTCTGCCCAATCTCTGTCTGAATTTGATTGTTTTCTATAAATTGTATTGTTTTTGAAAACCTAAGGAAATAAACTGCAATATGTGTGTTTTTTTCATTTGTTCAAGTTTGTGTTAGCATACTAACATCACCTTCTTTTGTATCATTTCAAACCAATGACATTTCTAATTGAACATGTAATTTTCTTCTGCAGGTGACAGAAAATCTCAGGAGCTGGAGGCTATCATTAGTAAGCTAGAGCATGAGCGATCCAAGATGGCGGCCCAGCTTCTGGTCTTGGAAGAGAGGCTGAGTGACAAGGAGAGCGAATGTGGTGCTATAGAAACCAGGATGAATCAAACCAATACACAGGTGGCAGACATGCAGAAGGAGCTGAGTGACAGGAGAACTGAGGTGGCCAACTTGGAGAGAGAGGTAAAGTGTGCTCATGATACTACAGTGTATAAGCTATTATATCTATCATATGATATGGATACATAAATGTGAAAATAAGTCCTGGAAAGATGGCACTGGATTAAATACGCAAATGTGCATGCTTTATGTCAATTAAACAGGTTAAGAAGAAATCCACACAGATCTCAGCGTTAGAAGGCCAGCTGGATGGCAAAGTCTCTGAGTTCACCAACCACATATCCCGCCTGCGAGAGGTGGAAAACCAGCTGCAAGAAACCTCCCTCCAGCTGAAACACTGTCAAGCAGAGTTGGACAAACAGTGTAAGGAAGCCAAGCAAACCAGTGGGGTGCTAACCAAAATGAAACAGCTTCACTCTGAGCAGTGCGCAGAGTATGAGAAGCAGATCGAAGTCTTCCAGGAGAAAGAAGAGGATAAAGTGTCTCAGATAGAGAAACTACAGAGGGAGTTGAGTCATGCCAGGCAGGATCTGACCACCAAGGCCACCAGGCTGGAGCAAGTGGAGCAGCTGCTGAGGGAAACCAGACAGGTGAGGGTCAGGATTGTGGTAGTTGTGAGATTCAGTATGTTGAAAATGTTATACTGATTCTGAAAGTTATGACTACCAAAGGCTGTGGCCTAGCACATTAAAAAAGTCAATAATCTAGGCAAATTTTTAAAAATTTGTTAAAGATCAGCTGGACTAGATATTTAGTAGCAAAATCAATACTCTAACCAATAACAGACAGACATTTTGATTATTTCCATTGCATCAGATGCAATTACTTGTTGAAAATTATATAATTGACATAAGGCCTCAAATGGAATAGATTTCTTACTTAGATATAAAATAGCCTTTTATCATCCAGTCAAGAATCCATCCATCAGAAGGATTTGTTTCCTTGAAAATGATGTTTAAGTAATTCAAATGTGACCATTTTATCTTTATTTCCAGGAACTCCAAGGCACAACTAGGGAGCATGAGCAGACGTTGAGAAGCTTGGAGTCACAGACGCAGCAGGGAACCAATCAGGTGAAGCAGCTAGAGACTGCCCTGGTCACATGTCAAGAGGAGCTGGCAGGGTGTATCTCACAGCAAGAGGAGACAAGAGACAAGTATGAGAGGGCACTGAAACAGAAGGAGCAGGAGGTATGGTCATAAATAGAAAATAGAACATATTGACCTATTTCATTTTATTAAATAGACTGTGACTGAATATTTATAAATATATTCATTAGGAAAGTAATGTTGCTCACCAATAATTTGAAGTTGGTGATCTTTGTAATTTAAAAACTTACAACTGTGCAAAATATTATATAAATGCACTGAATTTCTGGGCATCAAATTCATAAACTGAATATGATAACTTTATGTTCAGACATCTTTGGCAATTTTTTGTGCAATTAATGGTTAACATAACTTTTACTTTTATCTGACAGGTTACAAAAATGGAAAAGTCATTAAAACAAGCCAAGAAGGAGGCAGAAAGCAAAGAGAACCAGCTGTCAGAGGTAGTGCGGGCCCTGGAGGAGAGACAACAGATGCTACAGGACAGTAGTGGTAGGATAGGAGAGCTGGAGGACAGTCAGGCACAGCTAGAGATGCAGGTACCCTACTTTAGACTCATCTGCCTTTTAGTATTTGACCCCCTTGCAAACTCAGAAAATTATAATATGACATTCATTCGTATATAACATTATAAAGATATCTCTTATCATCCCTGTATATTTATTATAGCTGTCAAGACTGGAGCAGGATCTCCACAGAGAGCGGTCATCCATTGTCCAGGAGGTCCAGAGCATGGAGAGAAAGCTCCACCAGGCATGCCTGGATCTGGAGGAGAGGGCCAGGGAGGTCAAGGATCTCACAGACATGGTCAAGTTAGTCCCTTTTGTTATTTTCTCAATGTACGGTAATTGGTACAATTTTTTTGAAAGTTGCTAGGTAAATAAGATTTGAAAAGCAGTAGCAAAATGGGTGGGTATCAGTTTTGAATTTGTAAATTTTAAGCTCTCAAGATTTTTATCGTGTCAAAGTTTTATAATATCCTAAAGAGGCCAGCCTCAGATACACTTGTCAACAGGGAGGGTTATCTACACTTTGTATCTCAAAAGATGAGTTAACTTTGAGTACTTTAATTACAATATATAGAGCGTTAAGCATTTATATAAAGTAGCACATCCCATCCCATCCCAGTGGTGTTAACATATCATTAAGTTGCTGTTCTTTTTTTCTTTTTATTATATATATATATATATATATATATATATATATATATATATATATATATATATATATATATATATATATATATATATATGTCCAGTGACCTAGCTATTGAACTAAGTAAATAGGAAATAGTTTTAAAACTGGGAATGAAAAAAAAATACTAGCATCATGTATAACACCATTATTAATCATATTTTTCAGAGAGCTCCAGCAGGAGAAGTCTCGGCTGACTGATGACGTCAGTGACTTGGAGAGACAGCTCCACCAAGAGAGCAAAGAAAATGACAACAGGGCGTCAAGGATATCCAGTTTGGAGGCGGAGCTTAGGGAGGTCGGAGGTCAATTACAGCAGAAGTCACAGAGAGGTGTGTTGATTTTAAAAAATGTACAAATTGTGATAAAGGTTTTCAGTTATTCTGAGAAGAAGTTGAGCATAGAGAGTTCAAAGTTCAATTTTAGCAGAAGTAATAAAGAGCTTGATTAAAAATAATGTGTGAAGTGTGTGTAGCAGGTGATGCACATATGCACTGCATTAAAACATATGAAGGCAGATGATTTTTTCAGTCAATATAATGTTTATAACTAAAATGTTGACCTTTTATTCTTTTAAAAATCCTTCCAGGCATATATGATAATTGTATGTTGATTTAAATGTTTAAGTTTCTTCAATGGAAGAGCAGTTACACCAAACAGAGGAAGATTTAAAGGCACAGACACGGTTGGCCCATGACTTTGACTCTGAACTCAGGAAAGCTCAGGTTTGGACAGTTAAATCTTATTTTCTTGATATCAGGATATTGTCCTATTTATTGGCTTCATATTACAGTTGGGGTAATATTATTTCCCCAAATACAAATACAAGGTTTAACATGCTTAATGTGTATAATGGTGAAGTCTTGTCAGCAAATGCTGCTCAGCAACATCACATATGATTATATATTATTGTTCAAGTTTCATGTTCTCCTGTTTCTTGCTTATTTATAACAGGAAGATCTCCATCAAACTCTGGCACAACTTTCTGACCTCCAACACCTACTTAAGAAGAGCAAGACAGACCTAAGGAATAAAGAAGAAACTATGAGAGATATGTCAGAGACCCTGAAGTATGTAGTTTAGTGCTCTTTACTCTGAAGAATGTATATTATGAAAAATCCACTTTTTTTCTAGATTTCAAAGCAGATATACTTGTATAAATTGTGTAATTGTATCCTTATGTTTCAAGTTAACAGAGGGTGGTAGTCAACACCTTGTTTTCATCATAAATGAGATTTTTACCTTTCTGCAACTTCATTGTGTTGATTTAAAATAGACCTCTCATACTCATGGGAATTATTTTCACCAATTTTGCTCTCATTCAATCTTCATCATGTCCAGAAAAAGTCAGACTGATCTCCAAGAACGCAACAAGACGGTTGAAGAGCTGGACAGTTTGCTGCAAGAACGACAACAGGAGTTGGCGCAACGAGCAGCTCATGTCACCCAGCTGGATATGACCATAAGAGAACACAAGACGGACACTGAGCAAAGACTGATAAGATTGGAGGGGGCTTTAAAGAAATCACAGTATGAAACTCAGCAAAGAGCTAAACAAGTAAGTGTGGGTTTTGTGAAAACAGTATTTTTTTAAAAATATTCTCAGCCAAGATGTACATGTTGATTGTTTTGATTTGCTTAATGAGCCAAAAGACATAATTAAAATGAAATGATAGCAAACAACAAATAAGATAACATATAAAGTGTCCATAGAACTGATTAAAAAATATAGATATATAGAAAAACCAGTGTAGCTCATACCTGTGATCTCCTCCCCTTCAGCTGTCAGACCTGGATGCTAGGTGTAGCTCTCTACAGCAGGATGTCCATGAGAAAGATCTCCAGCTTCAGCAGGCACAACAGCAAGCCAGGAAACTGAAGGCAGACATTGAGAACAAGGCTGCCAAGATACAAGAAATGGAGAGGGTATGTTATTCTGATGTTATGGGGGATAGTGAACTTGAGAGATTGGAAGAGATTGAGTAGAATTGTTGTGAGATTGATTTGTTTACCTTAAATTTCATTTTAAGAATGTTCAGAAATGGAAATAGTAAAATAAAAGGTATTTAATGTGAATCATACTTATTCATTTTGGTTCTTGAAAAAACACTGTAAATAAGGGAATAAAAAAGCAAAAATATCACTTTTTATAAGGCAAACAAAATATTAAAACAAGGCTTTATAGTTTTCTTTCTTTCTTTTTGACATAAATCTTAAGTTTATGATATGAAACATATATGTTAGGTTATGATATGTGTATCAACAACCCCTGCACATTTATAGATTAATGGAGTAATTTAGTATCAAACTTGTCCTTTTTTTTTCTATAGCATATTGAGAAACAGAAGCAGAGAATTGAAGAATTGAAAGAAGAAAATCAGGAGACATCACAAGAGCTCAGGCTTGCTAGGTATTTTTATTTTTATTGAGAGAGATGAATATTGAGCTATTAGAATTGATGCTTTTTCTTTGTTTTTGAATTGAAAAGTCCTCGTTGAATTAAAAAAAAACAACAACAAAAATCAAATTCGCTGCTTTGATTCACCTATTATTCATAGAATATTGTGATTCATAACTTATATTGACTATTTACTGTCCCTGTTTATCACCCACTGTCTTATAATTCACAGAGAACAACTCCAGCACCAGTATGTAGAGGTAGCTGAGGCAAAGAGTGACCTTGCAGAGAGTCACAGGGAACAAGACAGGTTGGCAAGGGAACTGGATGAAACTATTGCCATGGCACAGGTAGACATTTACTGTACCCTGTGGAACTTTCTAAGTGTTTATTAAATTTTTATGTTACAGTAGTAGTTGCTGTGTTATTGCTGGCATGCAGTTTTATTCAGGGTGCACAAATAGAGGGAAATTTTTCATACATCTTGGCTGGGGGCTGATATTTTTTAATGTTACATTATAACAATATAGTAAATAGAACCCATTTGTTAATGAGATCAAGTAAGATAACCAAGATGTAATTAAACTGATTTTGATGAATTATGTTACATGTAGAATAAAGACACAGAGATTGCTCGTCTGGCTGAGGAACTGGGTGCATCCCACGCCAGGGAGGCCCAGGCTGACACAAAACTTACTGCAGAAGTCAGACGATTGAAACACGAGGTGGAGCTACTACAGGAACAACATCAAGAGGAGGTGAGATACATGTGTACCAGGAATTTTTTTCCGTGCTTGTTTTCTAATAATGCACATTATTAAGTTATTAACAACAAACATTCTTTAAAGTTATGCATTTTTCTTCAGCTGTTGCATTCAAGTATAAAGCATGTTGTTTTTGCTGCTGTAAAAATATTATCCTGTTATTTTTTTTTGCCCCACATAATAAGACATCTCCATTCCAATCTTTATGCCTTGTACAACTTTTCTCTATATTAGATGAACCATTTGCGTGAAGCGCATGCTGAAGCTTTAGCCCAACAGGAAGAGCATGCTGCCAAATACAGGTTGAAGGTGAAGGAGTTTGAGGAGAAGGAAAGAGCACTGCAGCACCATCTACAGGAGACCCAGAGAGATGTGGAGGGAGTGAAAATGGAGTTGCACTCCAAGAAAGATGCAATAGATGCTGCCAATGAATCTGTGGTAATTAAAGTAAGTAAATCTCTTAACTTGACAGCCATTCTGAATTTTTTCCCCAACATTGCTGCTCAGTGTGATTTGTCTTAGGTCATAGCCACATTGTTCTGATACTACATGATATTTCAGAATCATTCATGTCAATTCTCAAGTGGAAAATAATAACTAAATCCTGTGCCCTCCAAAGCTTGTTTTTTTGGCATTAATATTAGATTCAAAATTTTTACCTGTACCGTGTTTCAACTCAATTGTTAAACTAGTTTCACTGTTGTGGTCTGATATTTTCAGGATGCAGAGATTGCAAGGTTACAAGCAAGAATCTCAGGCTATGAGAGGGCAACCTTTGGTATAAGGGCAACTGACCTTGACCCTTACCACCAAGGTCAAGGTCACCACAGGGCATCCTCCCTAGCATCTGGCTTGCCTCACATGCTTCCATCATTAGGACCAAGTGTTGATTCAAGGTCAGCTAGAAAAAGGACTGGCACTCTAAAGCGCAGCTTTTCAGAGCGTAGTCTCAAGGATCAATCAGCAAATGACAGCCTTCCTTTGAAGCACACCAGTGCAGATGACTCTTTCTTTGAGGCTACATTCTCAGCGCTTCCTAGTAATCCTGGTGGCAGTGGTTTTAAGTCAGGAGGTCAGAGGAGTAGGATACCCCGTCCATCATCACGCTCAAATATCAGTGGTGTTCAAACGGCAGCTTCAGACTCTGAGACTGATCTTGACACATTCCAAGGCATGCTGAAACATGTGAACAAGATGTACGATCCAGCCAGTCCACCTAAGATGGTCTCCACTAGCACAAGTCCTCTTAGGGAAAGTCCTCCCAAGAGAGACCTCTCAAAAGCATTTGATGCTGTGGAGGACAGACATGGAGAACAAGGTACAAAAAATGAGTAGTGAAAGCACTAGTTTAATTTGTTAAGTAATTTTTTTCAAATTGAATTTTTTAACAATTAGGATTTTTAATTTTCTTTTGTTCCTCTTTTTATTATTGAATCTATCTTATTCGGTTTAGTCATTGTGTCACAATAAATGTTGTTCCTAATATCATCAGGTAAATGATAAGTGGTTTCACACTTTCTGACACTGAGAAGGCAATGAAAGAGTAAGTTGCTGCACCATTGTACTTCAGCATCCCTATCCATGGTGCTCTCTCATATTTCAGGGGACGCACCTTCACCAGTGTCTTTACTGGACAAGTTACACAAGCAAAAAATGTCCATGACGTCACATGGTGGGAGATGGGAGCAGAATCTCAGCCCTGAGCAGGGGTAAGTGTGGCTGAAACTGACTATTTGACATTATGCCAGTGCTCCCTTTTTTTTTTACTAGTGTTACCGAATATTGTGGAACAAAATGTTAAATGGACCATTTCTATTTTTAACCCATTTTTCTTCAAAAGAAGAAGAAAAAAAAAGATTTGTATCTCCTATTAGAAGATCTGGCAGTGGATTCTGCTCAGTGATTTGCATTTGATAAATTAAAATTAATATCTATTTTTGTCTTTCAGAATGGTGGATTTACAAGCAAGGCTGCATCAGAATGAAATGAGGCAGCGACAACTTGATCAGCAGCTGCAAGACGTTCAGAATCAGACTTGATAACAAAGTCTACATCTTCATTATTTAACAGAATATATTAGATGACAGTTATTCTAATAGTCATATCCTTACAAATAAGCTGAAAAGATACAATGCAATCATGATAAAATCACTTCTCTAGCTTTCTACCTTATAAAAGTCTGATAATGTGGAAGAAGAGTAAAAGCTGATATTTCCATTATGGAATGAGGCTGAGACTTAAACATACTTTCCATGAGCTTCCAATATTGAGTCTGGGTCTGACAGGTTTCCATTCACTCACTCCCCTTTGAGCTCTCTTTGAGTTACCTTCATTGACAGCTGGGTTGAGCAGCGATTTTGTAATTGTTATATTTTCTTAATGCTATAAGACATTGCATATACATGACATAGTAGGTGCTGTACTTGAGTGAATTTTGAGTAATTTTATTATTTCAATTTTGAAAAAAATTGAAAACTTCATCATGAAATTGTCTAAAACTTGGACTTTACTTGGAAAATATAATAACCAAGAAACGAGTAATTGTTATATATTTTATTCACTAATTTATAATAATATTTATCATATATACATGTATTTTCACATTAAATAGTTTATTGTTATCCATGTGAGAGGTGTAAAAGAAACGCGCAGCTAGGTGAAGTTTTGAAAGCAGCATTAATTGATATTGCAAAGTATTAGATTTTTTTAATGTATGGCGTTAAGTATAATGGCATTTCTTTCTTTATGTGAACATTAAGATGTATATGTCTTTAAGCTCAGCAACAACAATGGCAGCCAACTTAGATCTCATGTTAGATTTTAATCAAACTGAGCTGTTAACAGTAAAACCTGGCTCAGTTCATGGAAGTGAGATTATGAAGGGATGTCTTATGCCACAACAGTGCTTCACATGGTTAAAAATAATTTTTTGGTTGTTTCACTGTATATGTTCATTTAATTCCCATTATTGATGTATTTTTGTTTGTATTTTAGATCATTTGTTTTTCCAATGTCATCACCCCAAAGTTAAATGATATACATAGAGGAATGCGCATCATAGCAAAAATGTACATATTAAAGAATTGATAAAGCATTGAAAGAATATCTAATCAAACCCAAATGACAGTTAAGTCCCTTTTAGCATTGTAGAACCTGCCAATTGTACAATTCTTTAATTTATTTTATGATATATACAAATTCCACATTTTTGTACTGATTTTGATACTCAATATGATGTAAATAAACGTGTACACGAGAATATAATTATATGGCTAATGTAACTCTGAGGGACTCGTTGGTCTGTGTAGTGACATTGGCATTTTATGGTTGTGCAGCTTTTTAACCATTGGTGCATTTTGATATATTTGTCATCTATATAATTTCCAATGGTTTATTGTAAGTAAATGAATATTTTTGTATTGTTGTTGGTCAGCGTTGCAGATATAATGCTGTATTGTTGTGTTTGTCATGTAGTCACTTATGAATGTAGCAGATATGAAAGAGGTTTCACAGTTCGCACCTGGGCTTAAGACTAAATGAAACAGGAAGAAGAGAGTTGACTGTACAAAGAACTTTTATTTGTGATTCCTCACAATAGCATATTTATGTGTCATTATATAGACCGAGTTCTTCCACTATGTAACCTGTCAGAGAATGTCTTTATGAATTTAAAAAAAACCCATTGGACTAGTAAGCTGGTCCGTAAATCGGATAGCTAAGTAGGGAGTTTCATACATTTAGAATACTCTGGAATGCTGAAGGGGTTTACTGGCAAAATGTTACAGTACAGTTAATACTTGTGAAATATAAATATGCAATGATGTAATAAAAGAAATAAGTATGTTATATGATATTTTAAAAAGTAAATCAGTATTGTAAACATTGGTATTCACAAGTCATTTTTATGAGTCAACCTTTACTGAATAGTAAATAAATGAATGAAATTATTAAAAGACTAGTGTTATTTGGACAATAACACAAATGACTATATGCTGCACACAAATGACTGTGCTGACTATATGCTGCACACAAATGACTATATGCTGCACAGTACATCTGCTATGTAGAGGTACTGGTGTAGGCTCTTCTGTACAAGAACATGTCCTGGCGGTGTGCATTCATGCAAACCATTACTACAGTCTATCATTTTAAATAAAATGATGTCGTGGCCTAGTGTGCAACCTTAAATTTGGTCACAAAATATGATCCCTAACCAGTTGCTTACAGTTAATATTTGACCTTCATTTTGTGTTTATGCCTCTCCTCAATTCCATAGATAAACATTATTGAAAATATATATATATATATATATATATATATATATATATATATCAGNCCTCTAGTTCAGAATCATTCTTTCAATTCTCAAGTGGAAAATAATAACTAAATCCTGTGCGCTCCAAAGCTTGTTTTTTTTTTGCATTAATATTTGATTCAAAAATTTTACCTGTACCGTGTTTCAACTCAATTGTTAAACTAGTTTCACTGTTGTGGTCTGATATTTTCAGGATGCAGAGATTGCAAGGTTACAAGCAAGAATCTCAGGCTATGAGAGGGCAACCTTTGGTATAAGGGCAACTGACCTTGACCCTTACCACCAAGGTCAAGGTCACCACAGGGCATCCTCCCTAGCATCTGGATTGCCTCACATGCTTCCATCATTAGGTCCAAGTGTTGATTCAAGGTCAGCTAGAAAAAGGACTGGCACTCTAAAGCGCAGCTTTTCAGAGCGTAGTCTCAAGGACCAATCAGCAAATGACAGCCTTCCTTTGAATCACACCAGTGCAGATGACTCTTTCTTTGAGGCTACATTCTCAGCGCTTCCTAGTAATCCTGGTGGCAGTGGTTACAAGTCAGGAGGTCAGAGGAGTAGGATACCCCGTCCATCTTCACGCTCAAATATCAGTGGTGTTCAAACCGCAGCTTCAGACTCTGAGACTGATCTTGACACATTCCAAGGCATGCTGAAACATGTGAACAAGATGTACGATCCAGCCAGTCCACCTAAGATGGTCTCCACTAGCACAAGTCCTCTTAGGGAAAGTCCTCCCAAGAGAGACCTTTCAAAAGCATTTGATGCTGTGGAGGACAGACATGGAGAACAAGGTAGAAAAAAATTAGTAGTGAAAGTACTAGTATTACTTGTTAAGTTATCTTCTTCAAATTGAATTTTTTAACAATTAGGATTTTTAGTTGTCTTATGTTCCTCTATTAATCATTGAACCTATCTAAATTGGTTTAGTCATTGTGTCACAATAAATGTTGTTCCTAATATCATCAGGTAAATGATAAGTGGTTTCACACTTTCTGACACTGAGAAGTCAATGAAAGAGTAAGTTGCTGCACCATTGTACTTCAGCATCCCTATCCATGGTGTTCTCTCATATTTCAGGGGACGCAGCTTCACCAGTGTCTTTACTGGACAAGTTACACCAGCAAAAAATGTCCATGACGTCACATGGTGGAAGATGGGAGCAGAATCTCAGCCCTGAGCAGGGGTAAGTGTGGCTGAAACTGACTATTTGACATTATGCCAGTGCTCCCTTTTTTTCTTTTTTTTTACTAGTGTTACCAATGTGGAACAAAATGTTAAATGGACCATTTCTATTTTTAACCCATATTTCTTCAAAAAAAGAAAAAAAAAGATTTGTATCTCCTATTAGAAGATCTGGCAGTGGATTCTGCTCAGTGATTTGCATTTGATAAATTAAAATTAAAATCTATTTTTGTCTTTCAGAATGGTGGATTTACAAGCAAGGCTGCGTCAGAATGAAATGAGGCAGCGGCAACTTGATCAGCAGCTGCAAGACGTTCAGAATCAGACTTGACAACAAAGTCTACATCTTCATTATTTAACAGAATATATTAGATGACAGTTATTCTTATAGTCATACCCTTACAAATAAGCTGTTAAGATACAATGCAATCATGATAAAATCATTTCTCCAGCTTTCTACCTTATAAAGAGTCTAATAACGTGGAAGAAGAGTAAAAGCTGATGTTTCCATTATGGAATGAGGCTGAGGATAAGTTTTCCAAGCATAAGATTTACTTGCAGACATTAATGGAGTTTTGAGACTTAAACATACTCTTTATGAGCTTCCAATATTGAGTCAGAGTCTGAGCAGGATTCCATTCACTCACTCACCTTTGAGGTCAGATTAGCTCTCTTTGAGTTTCCTTCATTGACCAGGAAGTTGAGCAGAGATTTTTTAATCATTATATTTTCTTAATGCTATAAGACATTGCATATACATGACATAGTAGGTGCTGCACTTGAGTTAATTTTGGAAAATTTTATCTGATTTCAATTTTGAAAAAAATTGAAAATTTCATCGTGAAATTGTCTAAAACTTGGACTTGACTTGGAAAATAATAACCAAGAAACATGAGTAATTGTTATATATTTTATTCACTAATTTATAATAATATATATCATATATACATGTATTTTCACATTAAATAGTTTATTGTTATCCTTGTGAGAGGTGTAAAAGAAATGCGCAGTTAGGTGAAGTTTTGAAAGCAGCATTAATTGATATTGCAAAGTATTAGACTTTTTTAATGTATGGCATTAAGTATAATGACATTTCTTTCTTTATGTGAACATTAAGATGTATATGTCTTTAAGCTCAGCAACAACAATGGCAGCCAACTTAGATCTCATGTTAGATTTTAATCAAACTGAGCTGTTATCAGTAAAACCTGACTCAGTTCATGGAGGTGAGATTATGAAGGGATGTCTTATGCCACAACAGTGCTTCACATGGTGAAAAATAATTTTCTGGTTATTTCACTGTGTATGTTTGTTTAATTCCCATTATTGGTGTATTTTTGTTTTTATTTTAGATTATTTGTTTTTCAAGTCTCATCACCCCAAAGTTAAATGATATACATAAAGGAATATGCATCATAGCAAAAATGTACATATTAAAGAATTGATAAAGCATTGTAGTCGAGTCGCCACTCCCATAGGCCCAATAGTCGAACCCTGCAATGTTCTTTCCTGTAAACTTTTTTTGCTGAAATGCATTCTTCAGGCCGAGAGAAGCAAAATTAGCTTGGTTGCTATTCCCGAGACCTTGAGCATTTTTTAATATGGCCGTCAATTTATGACGAAAAATAGAAAAACGACCAGAAGTCGCCGGGTAAACTTTATTGACAGCTTTTTTGAACGTGTTTCCTATCAGGAAAGCACAACAGTACTAGTGAATACTCTTAATCGCGTACCACTAAGCAAAAAACCAAAATGGCCGTCAAAACATAAGGCAGAAAATGATAAAAGTGGCAGAATCAGTTTGTTTTTTGCATATTTATTTTTATAAAAAAACAAANGTAAAGAGATGGTATTGTGCATCATGTGCTCGTACCGTAAATAAGTAACATAATACAATATAATGTTCTGTCGGTCACGGTAAGAGTGTGTATTTAGTTACAATTGATCCCGTTTTATATATACCCAAACTGTTCACATTATACTTTTAGGACACAAAAAATATTCTAAATACTTATGCTTTCTGTAACACGTGGGTATTTGTTGTATAGGTGACTTTATCAATTTTGTTGTCAATCTCAATGTAAATAGCGCCTAGTCTTTCTGAGATCCATATGAAACAGCGAAAGAACAGTAATCAGCAAGCAATTAAAGGGGCCAACTCATTACAACTCAACTCTGTTCACCCTAATGTGTTTAATCATATGCCTCACAGCGTGATTCGAATTATCTGCCTTTTTTAATTTCCCCAAAGAAAAGTTTTGTTCGAACTCTCTGTTTGAATTCAGTCACCAAGATTATACCGTAGGTGTGAAATTATCTGTGCGAACGCAACACGATTCATGAGGTAGAAAATAAGTAAAAGACAATACACTGTTTATACTTACCAATTTTTGAAATAGATTCAAAGTATCATAAATGAAAATTATAAAACACAAGCCGAAATATTTTCACATCGTTAGCTTACGGCCAACCTGGGCGAAGGCCTTTTTTGATCCAACTACCAAGCTAATGAATATTTTTGCTAATTTAGATTCAAAGTAGTAATGTATTTGAACACAAAATGTTTAGTTCACGTATAATTAGATGAGTAGAGGATAATGCCCTGGTTATATCTCCTATGTTTTTAGAAGATTTAAGGTCGTATATATTTGTCCACGAAATGTAATTAGCTCCCAGACTTTCTGAGATCCATTTAAAGCAGTGAAAGAACAGCAATCAGCAATCAGATAATTAAAGGGGCCACCTCATTAAAACTGAACTTTCTTCACCTTACATGCCTCATAGCGTGATTCAAAGGCTTTTCGTTTTTCAACTTTTGCAAATAAAGTTGTCTGTCGAATTCTGCGTTTAGAATGAGTTACCGACCACCATCGTAATCTTATAATCATAATAAAGCATAGATTTAAATCATGAGTTTGAAGCCCACTATTGGTATTTTATATAGGCCTACTGGAAATATTAGGCAGTATATTTCTATATATGCGTCTGTGCACTATCCACCAGGACTAGGGTTATTTCTCAGTTATTTCTCTGGCTTGTTCTTTGTACTTCCATTTACTGAACTAACAGCAAAAATAATTTGGACAGATCTAGAATTGACGTCAGCATGCATTCAGCTGACTTCTGGTACAATGTAATTACGTTCGTGTACGTTCAGAAATAATGCCATCATGTTCATGGCATAGGTGTAAATCTCAGTGCGTGGGTTAATGAGTCGAGTTAACACAGCGTGGTTTAATAGACCCAGCGTGTTCTCAAAATTGTGTGTAAGAGGATTGGTGTCATCAAAAAAAAATAAATAAATAAATAAAATAAAAGGAAGATGGTCCTCAACTCTGTGCGAGCATGATGAAAATATTAATGTAATTGCGGATACGGGGGCAAGGAGGGCAGATTCTATCTTCTTTTAAGGTTATGCAGACCCAGGTCAATTATCCTACATTTTCTGTGAAAATCAGATTTTAAGAGCTTGTTTCTCAAATGGTGTGAGTCCTTTTTTCTAGAGAGAGTCCATAATCCAAAAAGGAAGTCAAACGGGGATCATGATAAAGTTGGGGTTGAGGACACACTCCGTCATAAACCAGAAAGAAAGCGCACTGTCACTGACTGTGAA